CCCTCTTTAAGTCCCTCAACTTTCAGAATATTCACATTAGGCCCCAAAACAATCTTTTCTCACAATCAAGTCCTTAACTTACACTTAAATATTCCTGAAAATTTGGGATATTACACCCACCCCTCCTAAAAAGGAGTTTTGTCCCCAAAACTCAAATTGAGGACCATATCAAGTGGTGAGCGGCTTCACACAATCCAAGACAAAACAAATGTCCCACTCACTTTCTATGAACAGAACACGGCCTATTACGCTTCCGTTGCGCCACTATGATATCAATCCACAGCTAACCATAAAAGCAGGACACTAGCTACTTAACAGGGTTTACCATGAAATGAGCTACTAGAGGCTGGGGTGATATGGGAAGCACAACGAATAAAAATAAATCCTGCCAAAGCCACAAAAGAACCATTGTGGGGTTACGCTACGAACCCATCACAAGACGAGTTGGCAAAGAATGGCATGGATTTAAAGACAATTACAACAAAATTTTGAACTCTTTCAAAGACGGATAAGCATCCAATAAATATATGAATCATGAATGACTGAACAAGTGCATGGATGCCTTGTAAATTCTACCACAAAACAAGGTCAACCCATAAGCAGGGTCATGTTTAACAAAGCAACTGGAATCAAGAGGCAGATTTTAGCAATTAACAAGAGTTAAAAGCTAGACCCATCAAAAGACATGTAAAAATCTCAAGAATTGCAACAAAATAAAATCAATAGAAAATATGAATGCTTGGAAGAATATTGGAACACAAGAGTGCAAGGTAGAATGCCTCAAAGAATTCAACAACAAAATGGCATTGACCTAGAGTCAAGATCAAATTTAACCAAGTAGTCAAAATTGAGAGACAAGAGTTAACCATGAAACAAGCAATAGAATTTCAAAAATTAGGCCCACAAGAGATTCCAATAATGACAATCAGAACACGAATTCAAGAGCAGATATAACCAGGATGTCAAGATGTCAAGATCTAGCACCTCAAGTACTAGAATTAATTAACAGAACAAAGCAATGGCTGAGATCAAGATGCTTAGAAGATTCATGTCTTCCAATTAAAAAGGCAAACAAAAATCCAAGCAGCCAGATCAAAGAACCATTTCACTTGGAACAAAACTCTAGGGCATCAAGTATTTCAAGGACTACCCCTTTACCTCGTAGCTCATGGAGGCTAAGCAGGTTTACAATCAAGTCATCCTAGAGTCAAGTCAAAGTCAAGACATCAAGGATACAGAGATTAACACTTGCAAGAGACAAGAATTTAGAATACCTCATACAAGTATCTTCTGATAATCGTCACCCCTCCTAAAGAGGTGTCCATATGAACAAAAATCAAAAATCAAGAAGATCATCAAGTATACTGACACAAGAACTAGCAGAATATGCAAGATTTGAGCAAGAGCAATATACAGAATTTGAACAAGAACCAGAGTCAGAACAAGAACGTTTTCAAGGACAATTCAAACTAGATTCCAAGGACAGTATCAGTCGATTTTCAAGAGTGGAATTCCAACAAGAATTAATTTCAAGCAAGGTTTACGAACCGATTCCAAGCACAATGCCAGAAACAGTTTCAAGAAATAGTTTCAAACAAGTATCAAGATAATGAGGATTCCAATAATCATTATCCATTTCTGGATTTCAGTTTCAAGAACAAGTACAAAGCAATATCAAGAAAGATTCAAGATGGATTTCAAGAGTTTCAAACAATTTCCAAGTATCAAGAATGTAGAGATTGGCAACAATAGAGAGTTTAATTTTATGATAATGTAATATCCCAAAATTTTCGGGAATATTTAAGTGTAAGTTAAGGATTAAATTGTGAGAAAATATTGTTTTGGGCCTAATAGCCAACATTCCCAAACTCGAGGGACTTAAAAGAGGAGAATTTGGATAAGGATGGCTTATTTCTTTT